AACTACTTCTTATAAAAGTTTTTGTATTTATTTATATAAAAAATTTTTAACCATTATTTTCTATTAATATGGGTACAGATCCTTCTCGAATAATTAATTCATACTTATGAGTATAATACATTAATAAAATACCCCATTTTCCACAAATCATAGACCAAACAGCTGATATTACTGTACTTTCATCAATAGGTTTAATTGCTGTAAAAAATACAATTTTAATATTAGAAAAATATATTATTATTTATTATTATTTTTATTAAAAGTTATTATTTATTTTTAATAATTATTTTATACTATTTGATTAGAAAATTTATAAAATAAGCAAATAAAGTTTTCATTTTAAGAAATTAAACAATATACTTACGTATTTTATAATAAAATGTAAGAAAGAGATACCAAATTAGTGCTGTAATTCCTGCCACTGCATTTATAAAACCAACAATATTTAGATTTCTTAATGTAATTTGAGAATGCCATCTTTCTAAACGTTCTTTTCCTTTAACCCAATGCAAATGAAAACAAACTGCAGCTAATGTACCTATGTAATATATAAAAATGCAATTTTAATATTAAGTTTTTATTAAATTCAAATTAATTTAATAAAAACATTTTTTATTGTATAAATCGTTTATATTTAGCATTGACAAAGAGTTTTTATAGTAATAATATTTACCACATGTAATATGTTTAAAATGAACAAAATAGAAAATAATAATGTATTTATTAAAAAATATTAAAAAAAAAATTGCATAACTTTTAAAAAAACAAAGTTTTACAGGTAAAATATAATGGTCAAATAATATGCATAAAACGGATAATTTTTATTTGTTACAAGAAATAATACTTATTAATGTAATTATATATTTATTTCTTATATTATAAAATTTTACCAATTTATAATTAATTTGGTATTAATGTGTATTATAAAATATTATTAGATAATTTATATAATAAAATTTATCATTTCAAATTAAAAAAATGCTAACCTGATAAGATCGACCAGAATCCAACGTCGACATTGTAATATACAATAAAAAATACGATAAATGCTGATATAGCAATAATTACGCCGATAAAACTTATGATTAAATGTATTAAAACATCTCGTAACATCTTTAGATTTTTGTATTTACTGCGTAGTATATTTACAAATTAATTATGCCATGACACAAGGAAAATCAGTTTATTTGTGTAGATACCATATGGAACATATATAAAGACATACATACAATTATATATTAAAAATTATATTGTACATTACGATAATTTTAAAATAACGATGAATGAAATATACAAAAATATTATTTTGAAATTTAGTTATTTAATAATTGAATGTTTTAAAAGAATAAATAAATAAAATTGCTTCTGTCTTATTGCATAGTTGTAACAATGAGAAATCATTTTTGAAATCTTAATCTAAAAAAAATTACATAATGCAAATTATACATATTATTTAATCTTTAGATTTTTAAATATTTTTATATTTATATTTTTGCATATAAAAAAGAATGCAAAAATATATATAAAATATATGTAGTAACGTTGTATGAATAATGCAAATGTTAAACACATATTTAAAATTATTTTTAGATTCTTATTTATGGAAATCGTAAGAAATATTTTTATTATATATTTAATTTACAATAATTTAATTATCGCTGATATTATATATTAAATTATATGAATGTACGAATAAGTATATATGAATAAATAAAAAAAATAATTATTTTTTAATTTTCATCTGAACTCGTACAAAGTTTTTTATCATTTTTTGATTCTTCTATTTTTTTATTTCTTTTTTCATATTGTTCCATTATCACCGTTGCTCCCGTACGATTAAACGTGTATTGATACATCGAAAGATTTGCATGTAAAAATTGTGGTCTTATGTAACCAAGCACTAAATGCATTTATATAAAAAATATTAAAGTTTACTATTTTTCATTAAATATTAAGTAAAATTTGAAATTTTTGAAAATTATATATAAAATATTTATCTTCCACTCACTTCTTTTTGCTGTTACTGGAGGTGCAAGGACTTTTTCCGTATGAGGTTTGAAATATAAATCATGAATATATGCCAATAATTCACTTTGCAAGTCTTTTTCCTCAATTCCTATTTCATCTCGTGAAATCCCTATACTTCATTAATTTTTTAAGAAATTAGAATTAATTTTTTAAAGAAATTATTTGTTCTATTTTTTTTATGTAACATAGCTTACAAGGATTTTTATAGTTGATTTGATAAACAGATTGCAAATTATTGAGAATATGTTTATAAACCAATTGTTTAGCAGTTTCATCCAATTCTTTAGGAATCGATGCTATACGAGGATCGATTTCTCCTTCTTCTATACGATTCGTGAAATAATCTTCATGATATATTCTAAAAATGTAAAATTCGGATATTAAAATTTCGTGATTTATAATGTCATTTACACATATGTTTTTTAATTTTATTACATTTTAGCTGGTTCTATTTTCTTTTTTCTATAACTACGATCATATTCCGTAGGAAAAAATTCACAAAAATTAGTCATTGTCTCAAATACTTTTTAATACGATTAAAAAGAAAAAAAATGAGATATATTTTAAACTAGTATATAATTTGACCAATTTATATTTAATTGATTATAATCATAAATAAATAAATGACGGATAATCATATGTTTTTTTTTATGTCATATTTTTTTTATGTATACATATATTTTTCACATTTTAGAATATTCACTACATAGAAATTAAAAATACCTAACCTATTTTAGAAATTTAAAATACCTAACATATTTTGTGTGTTTTTGAATATGTGTAATATATGAAACAAGACTTTAATATTAATTTTTAATTTATATATTTTTTTATTATAGGATTTACATTATACATTTCTAATAGATAGGAATACATGCATATCCCGCTTCAAATTTAACAGAAATAGAATAAAAATACGAGAATCATTACTGGTTTTCAGAGTGACATAAATGAAACTAATTTAGATAAAGAGAATATATAATAGAAAAGAATAAAAAATAGAAGAATTGACCGTTAACGCCATCTCACATATAACAAAGACACTTTTTCATAAATAGGATAAGGTAGAGTAAGAATCGAAGATCAGCGCCATCTCTCTAACACAAAAGACACTTTTTCAAAAGATAGGATAAAGTAGAGGTAAAGTAGAGTAGGAATCGGAATTCAGCGCCATCTCTTGAGTGTTAAGAGAACTTTGAAGAAAAGTTTACGAAATACTCGAGAGATGGCGCCAGCAGTTCGATTTTTACTCTATCTCTATCCTTTACTTACTATCTTCTGTCCTTTTTTCGTGAGTTTCATTTGCGGCACTCTGAAGATGGCGCTGATTTCAATATTTTTACAC